GTTGATATACCGTAAAACAAAATAAACCAAACCAAACCAAACCAAATTACAGAAACCACATCACTTGAGGACAACCAACAGCAACAACAAGAAAAATAGACAGCAAATGCAAATCGAAGAGAAAACAATGACATAATCAAGATGTTAACATTCCACGCCAATTCAAACAGAATGTTCGGATGGAACCTCTTATCAACACTGAAAACGGAGATAACTTGAGAAAACTGTTTTCCGGAAAAAATTGAGATGGATTTTATAAATTTCAACCGATGCGCGGTCGATGAATGTTAAATGTTTCCTTATAGAGAAACGACTTATATTAACATTGCCATTACCTTGCATCATGACATGAATATAGATTAATAGAAAGTAAAAAAAGAAAAGAAAAAAGGATCACAGTTTATAAAGACGTTTCGAACTGAATAGTCTTGTATCACAAGCAAACGGAAACAGCATATTTTCTTTGAAACCAAAGCTCCATCTGCCATTATCAGGTTGATGCAAAAAATGTCCAGATTTTGGGGGGTCAAATTCTTTTTTATTTCTATCTGTTCATAGCATCAGATATTTTGCTTGGGCTTCTATGATCTTATGTTAAATTTCAGCTAAATCATAGATTTGATCATAAAAGAACGTCTCCATTCATGATGCAATGAATTCTTTATGAAATGCCAAGGTATTCGTTTGATTTCGTCAACTCTTTAGAACTAGTGATAAAAAGAAAAAAAGAACGAAACAACTGACGGTCTGAAAGTGATAGAGCTAAATATATATATATATATATATATATATATATATATATTGTAGAATTTCTTTTCAAAGCTCCATATCACATTTATAAAAGAAAGGCGGATATAAATCAAAAAAAAAAAAAAATCAAAGAAATCAAAGATCATCTTCCTTGTTCATAAAAGGCTGTCCTCAATTCAACTCATCCATTAAAAAACCTACTTATTGCATTACACAGTAACACTTAAAAAAATAACCCCATCGTACAGAGGCACACACATTCCCTCATTGGACACTTAAGTATACATCAGCAAATGATCTTTTATGCAAATTTCTAATCAGCCATTTAGGTGACAGCGATATAATGGCTAGATAAGTATTTAAATATCATTATGACGACTTTCATGAATTTCATGTGATGCATTAGGATGGGAAAGAAATTTGAAAACAACGAGACACATTCTTAAATTTCCTCGTCGGGTGTAAACATTCATATGGATGTCTTGCATGGCGATAAACCCGTTCAGAAATATCTAAACTGTCAGTTGTGTGCAACCGCTTTTTAATATCAATTGTTAAAATGGCTCTCAGCAGAGTGAAACCTGTGTACCTTGGAGAAGACCGTCATTTCTTAAAAACATGTGGACTGGCGCTACAGGATCACAAACAAATAAATGTTTCAAATAACAGAAAAAAACATTACATGAGGACTACCAACAGCAGCAACAGATAAAATGTACCTAGAAGAAAATAATTACGAAATCAAGATGTTGACATTAGTTTGGTTTGGTTTATTTTGTTTTACGTCATATCAACCTAAATGTGTTATTTAATTGCGACAAAAAATTTTATTGCTGGCAATATTTTGTTTTATCAAAAATCTGTTTCTGGTAATATCTTTCCTTTAAAATTGTATTGCCGGTAATATTTTTTTTCGAAAAGGTATTGCTGGTAATACTTAACTATTTGCCAATAGCTGGGACCCTAACAGGTGTTACCACCCAGGGTCAGGGTGGACCTGGGAACACCAGCATTTAAGAAGTGGTTCCACGCTCCTCAAAACCTCCTGATCAGAGGCCTTGCTGCAGGACGGAGTTTAACCTCTTACTCAGGACGCGGATGTAGTTTAA